CACAGAAATCTGAATTCATACAATTAGAAGGGCTTCCTGATGTTACCACTCAAGAGTCCATATAAGACAGTTCAAGCACTTCAGTACCCATCACTTCTACATAAGACAATACAGAGCCAAGTAAACCAGCTGTTCGCAGGTCTTCAAGGACTCTAAAGCCTCCACAACGGTTCACACTTCTACCGAATTATATTTTGCTGACAGATAGTGGTGAACCATTAACTTATAAAGAATCCTTACAAGATGGAAACTCGAGCAAGTGGGAGTTAGCCATGAAGGACGAGATGGAGTCATTGCTGAAGAACAAGACTTGGGAGTTAACCACACTGCCTGAAGCAAAGAAGGCTTTGCAAAACAAGTGGGTTTACAGAGTAAAAACTGAGCATGATGGCAGCAAACGGTTCAAGGCAAGATTTGTTGTAAAAGGGTTTCAGCAAAAGAAAGGGATTGACTACTCTTAGATATTTTCTCCAGTTATGAAGCTTACAACAATCAGAGTTGTTCTGGGGATAGTAGCTGCAGAAAATTTACATCTTGAACAATTAGATGTAAAAACAGCATTTCTTCATGGTGAATTGGAGGAAGACATTTACATGCAACAACTAGAGGGGTTTGCAATACAAGGAAAGGAGAATCAAGTCTGCAAGCTAAAAAAAGAGTCTATATGATTTGAAGCAAGCTCCAAGACAGTGGTACAAGAAGTTTGATAACTTCATGAGTAGTACGGGATACACAAAATGTCAAGTTGATCATTGTTGCTATGTCAAATATTTTGACAACTCCTATATCATTCTACTGCTATATGTGGATGATATGTTAATTGCAGGTTCCAGCATGGAAGAGATTGACAAGCTAAAGCAACAGTTGTCAAAACAGTTTGAAATGAAGGATCTGGGAGCTGCTAAACAAATACTTGGCATGAGAATCATCAGAGACAAAGACAAAGGCATACTAAAGCTTTCACAGGCAGAGTATGTCAAGAAGGTTCTCAGCAGGTTTAGTATGGATAATGCTAAGCCAGTATGTACACCTCTGGGGAATCATTTCAAGCTCAGTAAAGACCAGTCACCAAAAACTGAGCTAGAACGTGGATACATGGACCAGATCCCATACGCCTCAGCTATCGGCTCCTTGATGTATGCCATGGTCTGTACTAGACCAGATATTGCCCATGCAGTGGGAGTTGTAAGCCGATATATGAGCAATCCTGGAAAGCAGCATTGGGAGGCAGTGAAATGGATCATGAGGTACTTAAAAGGCTCATCGGAGACATGTCTTATTTTCACAGCTGGCGGTTTGAAACTTGAAGGCTTTGTAGATGCTGATCTAGCAGGAGATGTTGATAGCAGAAAGAGTACTACAGGTTATATATACACTCTAGGAGGCACTGCTGTTTCTTGGAGTTCTACCTTGCAAAAGATAGTTGCTCTTTCAACGACAGAAGCTGAATATGTCGCAGTTTCAGAATCCGCAAAAGAGATAGTATGGCTACAGAGTTTTCATACGCCTCAGTTATCGGCTCTTTAATATATGTTATGGTCTGTACTAGACCAGACATTGCCCATGCAGT